ATAATGTTCTATGCCAAATTTTGTGCTTGTCAAGTTGACTTATGAGGGAGAGAGGAAAATACACTTAAGAATGGAGGGAGGAATTAGGCCAAGAGAATGGGTAGGTAAAAGAGATTCTTAAAAGTCAGAAGATGCTAATTTTAAATTTTCTGATCCATTCCTCCTTGAAGAGAAACAAGTTTTTGCTGAAAATTCATATTTCTACAAGGAATTTTTTCCAGATAAAATTGATGTGTGAATCCATTTAAAACATGTAAATTAATCACCTATTTTAGCATAATGCCTTGATATGACCCTTGTGGTGGTCATTTCTCCTGTTCATTTCTAGGGCTAATCCCGCCAATTCATTTGACCCTTGACGTCTGTTATTGAGTTGCATACCATCTTTATGATATTATTATACATCAGTACATGACCAGCTTCTGCTCTAATGTTCACTTTCCTATTTCATGTCATACCTCGAAATGTTTCTTTATTTTTTTTTTTATTGTTTTTTTTTTTTTGTAGCTTCCAGTGTGGAGTTAACGGATTTATATTTGTTTTTGGCTATGCATGGTGCTCAATTACTGCAACCACCCCAAATAATTTCTGTCCTGTTTTGTAATTATGTTCACGGAAGAATTTCTCCCTTACTAATTAACTTGCAAGATCATTGTTATATCTGATGGACAACAGTCCATAAATTGATGTTTATGATGATAGATGGATCCTCTTTATATTCTTTCCATTTGAAGAATTCTTTGTTTTGTTGCTGAGTCTGCTATTAAAATAAAATTGATATCTGAATGTGTTTATCAGTCATAAATATGAATATCTAACTATATTGCAGTACTTCCATACTTTAGGGATACATACGTGATCAAGAATTCGATCCTAGCCAGTTTTATGCTTTAGGTCGGACTTGCTCTGTCATATGTACCAAGCAGACAGAAAGTTCAATTCACTGTGTCTCTGAAGATAGAATTTTGGTAGATAATCGTCAAGTTAGATGCAGTAAGAATCATCAATGGTTAACCAAGAAAACAATTGCAGATGTAGTTGAAGCACTAATTGGAGCCTACATAGTTGACAGTGGCTTTAAATCGGCAATTGCGTTTCTTGGATGGTTTGGTATACATATTGAATTTGAAATTTCTCAAGTATGTCATGCTTGGACGGCAAGCTCCAGGTTTATGTCACTTGCAAACCGTATTAGTATTTCTGAAATTGAAGGTATTTTGGGTCATCATTTTGTTCACAGAGGCTTAGGTCTGCAAGCATTTGTACATCCATCATATAATAAGCATGGAGGAGGTTGTTACCAGGTAACTGGACTGATATGCTGCGAAAATTTTGAATATATGATTTTTATTTATGAATATTCTTCGTTTGCATGACTTATCCGGTATTTACTTCTGATGGCTAACAGAGATTGGAGTTTCTTGGTGATGCTGTGTTGGATTATTTGATCACATCCTATTTGTACTCGGTGTTCCCTGACCTAAAACCTGGCCAGTTGACTGATTTGAGAGCATCTCTTGTGAACAATGACTCATTTGCCCAAGCAGCAGCTAATGCATTGTACAAATTCATTCTATGTGAGAATAGCAACCTGAGTAGTGCTATTGATAAATACTTGGACTTTATCAGAAAGCCAGCTTCAGAAAGAAGTGTACTTGAGGAACCATCATGCCCAAAGGTCAATTCTCAAACCCTTTCCTCTTAGATATTATGATTCTTAAGCTTTATAAATACAAAGTTTTTTACCATTATTTTTCTAATAAAAATTTACACATCATTGTCTAATATTCTAAGTACGCTTTACTACCTTGAATGCCCTTTTCTTCATCCTACAGGCTCTGGGCGACTTGGTTGAGTCTTGTTTTGGGGCTGTTCTTCTTGACTCAGGATTTGACTTATGTCATGTGTGGAAGGTGATGCACTCGTTTATGAATCCTATCATGAAATATGCTAATCTGCACTTTATTCCTACACGAGAGCTGAAGGAGCTATGCCAGTATCATGGCTTGAATTTAGAATATGTTAAGTCAAAAAGAAATAGAAGTTTCATGGTTGAGGCAATAGTGAACGGACAAAGTTTTCACGTCGCTGAATCTGCAATGTATCGCAATACTAAAGGAGCTAAGAGAATGGCTGCACGGAAAGCTATTGAAAAACTGAAGGTGACAATTCTTATATGGGTATTCCACCTTTTCTATGATGCAGAATTGTTGGCCATTATTCCTTTTATAAAAAAAAAAAAGCGTAGATATAATTTGACTGGCTGTTATTATTGTTAGTTGATGTATTCCGTTCTGATATTAGCACCAACTCCTATGCTGTCTTTAGAATCTGGAACATCATGAATTCATTACTGGTGCCATAAAAAATTATCTTATTGAAGGCATATTCTACTCTGTACTTACTAATGATGACACTGCTTAGAAAAAATATCTATGGTTTGGGCCTCCCATTCTTGTAAACTCCTCTTTTGCTTGTCTATGTTCCTGAAGGGATATTTGTATTCTTCTGAAAATGTCTGAACTTGTCAAAGTTCCAGTGGTTATTATCTGAGTATAAATGAATCGTGTTTACTCTGCTTTTGTCTACTTTTGAGTAACAAGCTGACATTTCCATATCTGCAGGCTCAGGGTTATCGTCTGAAGACATCACTGGAAGAGGTCCTAAAAACGCTGCGCACAATGGAACCCAGGCTTGTTGGATATGATGAGATGCCGCTGTCCCTAGTTTCTTCCAGCGATCTGCCCAATGTTGGAAATTTGTGCTTGTTGGAGGATTATTCCCATACTTTTATGAATCCAGAACTCACTTTCAGAAACTTGTCTTCGAATGATTGTCCTGTTCTCAATGACCGTGCAAGTCCAGAGCCCAATGTATACGAAATGCCAACAATTGTCTCTAGTTCCCAGAAAAACTCCACCAGAGCACCCCTTTCTTTATACAAGAGACAGCAGCATAGTCAACACACTGGGGATGAAAACCTTAACATTGACTCAGATGTGCATGGTACTGTTAAAGCTGCATTAATGAATTTGCAGTATTGCTATATGCGCTGTGAAAAAAGCTTAACCTTAGATGTGTGCAAATTTCAGGTAGCCTGGGAAAAGCAACTGCAAAATCGCGATTGAATGAGATTTGCGTTAGAAACTGCTGGAAACCCCCTCTTTATGAGTGCTGTAAAGAGGAAGGACCAAGCCATTTGAAATTGTAAGTTGTATTTACCACATCTGCTCCCCACTCCCTCTTTCCAAAGAAATGTCAGATGTCTCCATGCTTTGTTTTCCTGTACATGTAAAGATGGTGTGAGATCTCGGCTTTTGCTCTAGTAGTAAAGTGTTTTACATCTGAACAGTCTCCCCTTTTTTCCTTCCTATGTGGGAAGGGCGACAGGGCGTGATATTGATGCTCTATTCTTGTAGTTATTGAAGTTGGGTCCTGAAACTTTCTTGTGTTGCTTTATTTGGTTAAATAATTAGATTTTATTTGCCAAAAATAAAATTGCTTAAATTTTGCAGTCCCTGAAAACCACTTCTGTCATTACCTCAATTATTTGTATCTAAGCTATTTTGTCCCCGAAACCTTTCATGCATGGCTTGGCTATAGAGTGTAACTCAGTTACATGACATTATCTAGTTGAGGTTTGAGAAGTCCTATTATTGCTTTTAGAGAAGAAACCCTTCAAAATAACAACTGTTTGTCATTTCTGATGATGTGAAGATAGTTAAAGAAAGGTGTTTTTGTGGTTAGTTTACTGTTTTCCTGAATGTGCCATTATACAGGTTCACTTTCAAGGTAATGGTGGTAATCGAGGAAGCGGAAGATGTGATATTGGAGTGCTTTGGTCAACCTCAAGCAAAAAAGAAAGCTGCTGCAGAAGAAGCAGCAGAAGGTGCACTTTGGTTGTTGAAGAAGGAAGGTTACATCAGATAAGAGCCGAGCCACAAATCATGACTTCATGTGTATATATACTATATAATTTTATAATGTGACACAAGGAGGGAAGGAGGGATTGGTAGATTATGAAAGTAGGCCTTAAGTCCGTTGGGCCTTAGAGAAGTAGGCCATAGGAGGCCCAAATTTGACTAGTAAATAAATATAATGTATAAATTGTTGTAGTAGGTAGTAGTTTTTGGAAGGGACAAAAGGCAGTTAACTAATTTTTTACTGTTATTACAAAACTAAGCTGCTTATGTATCTAAAGACCTTTAAGCCTAAAGATATGGGCCAATTTTGTATGTAAATTAATCAATTTAAGGCATTTGGCTATCCTCCTTCTGTCTCTTTATTGGATTGTGTATATATTTGAGCAGTTGAGCTAAAAGGATGCATAATCTCAAGAGTTACTATTTATTTTCTACTAACTTATTATCGATACATAATTTAAGAAATTGTTAACTAATGCGAGTGAGTTTAAGATAAAGTAAGAAAGAAAAGTGAAAAGTTGGATTTGTGTAAGAAAATGGTGAATAAAGTAAGAGAAAGAGGAAGAAAAGATGTCATTTTTGCGGAGTTGTAGGGCTAATATGGTAAAAAGAGTATGCAATAAGGTTTCGTTTCTTTTGACGGAAAATATTTTCCTAAAAATTGATTTTCTCTGATCCAATTTTTTTTTTCTTCTTATTTTCAATTGTTTGGTTAGCCAAAGGTTGAAAATAGTTCTCCCAAATAGTTCTCCCAAGAGCAGGTTATGTTTTTCTTCTAAAAAGAAGGTATGCTACATTTTCCTTACTCCTATTTTCTCATCCTAAATAATTTTTCTTGTAAGAAACCAAACAAAGGAAAATTATTTTTACAATAGGTTTTCGTTTGAAACTATTTTTCCAAAAAGTTGTTTTCCATTAAAACAAATAAAGGCTAAATAGGATTAAAAAAAAAATAAAAAAATGAGTACAACATAAAAACACAGTTTAGTATAAAAAGTGAGTAGAGCTAAAAATAACGGAGGGATAATCTGTACGGAGTATGTGTTAAGGTTGTATTTAAGTTTACTGATGGTTGTTATGTGAATTTGGAGTTTGGGTAGTAAAAGGTCTTGGATCCTTGGTTTGGGTCCTGAAATTCTAAAAAGGGGTGTTGGAGTTGGACATGGTGAGCGGTGAGAGTTTTCCCGCCAAAAAAGCCCGCCAAAAAGAGCAAAACCCCTCTTATATCCATTCATCTCATTGAAATCAATCAGTTCCGCCACCATTTCATTGAATCAGGAGAGAGAGAAAAAGGAGAGAGAATGTCAGGGTGGGATGAAGGAGCAGTTTATTACAGCGATCAGGCGCAGTTCCCCTCTGGTCGTGTCGGCGACAACAGCTCCGACAGTCGGCACTCTGTTCTCCTTAAATTCAAGGAGTTCATCAGAAGCTTCGAGACCAACTCTAGTGTCTTCCCTTACCGTCAGAGCCTCGTCCACAATCCTACTTCACTCGTCGTTAACCTTGAGCACCTCGACGCCTTTGATCCCGATCTACCCTCTCTCCTCCGTTCTGCTCCCGCCGACTACCTGCCACTGGTCTGTTACTTTTCTCTTCATTTTCTTCCTTCTTTTTGAATGAATGTATGTTTAAATTGCTGTTCAGTTTGAGACGGCCGCGTCGGAGGTGCTGGCCAGTTTGAAGTCCAAAGTAGCCGGGGAGACCGGAGAAATGGAGGAGCCTTTCACCGAGGATGTTCAGATTCTCCTTACATCCAATGAGGATTCCATCTCTATACGCTCTCTTGGTGTATGTTTTTAATCTTTTTTAGGGTTTTGCTTTTGAATTTCAATTTCAATTTCAATTTCATTTAATCAATTAATCGATCAAACAGGCTCAATACATATCCAAAATGGTTAAGATATCAGGGATTACCATAGCAGCTTCTAGAACTAAAGCTAAGGCTACGTATGTCACTTTGCTTTGTAAGAACTGTAAAAATGTCAAGCTCGTTCCTTGCCGTCCTGGTCTTGGCGGCGCAATCATTCCCAGATCTTGTGACCATATTCCTCAGGTCCTTTTTTCTTTTCTTTTCTTTTTTTTTTTTTTTTTTTTTTTTTGTAGTTGATTTCACCAGCAACAACATTTTAACGCTGTTTTTATTTCACAAAAATACAGCCTGGTGAAGAACCTTGCCCTCTTGATCCTTGGCTTGTGGTTCCTGATAGAAGCAGATATGTTGATCAGCAGACCCTTAAACTCCAAGAGAATCCTGAGGTGAATGTTTCTCATTTTGTTTCATCAATATCTATCATATTCATGGGTTGTTGTTCCTGATAGTTAATATGTAAATTTAATTGGTAGGACGTTCCAACTGGAGAGCTGCCTAGAAACATGCTTCTTTCCATCGATCGACATCTTGTTCAAACTATTGTTCCTGGCTCCAGACTCACTGTCATTGGAATTTACAGCATCTTTCAAGCTGCCAATGCATCTACCGCGTAATAACCCTTTACCTTACCATTGCAATCAGATACTTATCACTCTTGTTTCTCATTCATTGTTGGTCCTCGTACAGTCATAAGGGAGCAGTTGCTATTAGACAGCCTTACATAAGAGTTGTAGGGATAGAAGAAGCCAATGAGGCCAGCAACACTCGAGGTCAAGCTGCTTTCACGGCTGATGAGGTGTGCTTCTCTTTTTCTTTATCTATTTTTTATATGTTTAAGTCTTCAGGACTTTTGTTTCATATATGCTTCCATCACAGATTGAAGAATTCAAAAGATTTGCTGCTCAGCCTGATACATATGAAACTATATGCTCCAAGATTGCTCCCTCTATCTTTGGCCATGTTGATGTCAAGAAGGCCGTTGCTAGCCTTTTGTTTGGTGGATCACGCAAGGTACAATCTCTTATCTTGTTAATCATCTTGTGATTTCCCTTTAATTCATGGAAATATATGTGATTTACTTTTTTGTGGATGCAGTCTTTGCCGGATGGTGTGAGGCTTAGGGGTGACATTAATGTGCTGCTATTGGGGGATCCTTCTACCGCCAAATCACAGGTAGCTTTCTCTGCACATTTCATGTTCTTTGGCAGTCTAATGTTTAATCCTCAACCCTATATTCTTAATGTTTCTCTTAAATCAATTGAAAACTCACTGGCTAGTAAAGCAGCAAATTGACAGCCCATTTTACCAAAACTAAATAAACTTATAACGTAATCACTTTTTCTCAATGAAGTTTCTCAAGTTTGTCGAGAAGACAGCACCCGTAGCTGTTTATACGTCTGGTAAAGGATCTTCGGCTGCTGGACTTACAGCTTCTGTGATTCGAGACAGTGGTTCAGTAAGTTCTCAACTTCTTTAGTCATAAATTTTTTCAATTTTTTTGTCATACCTAACTGGCATTCCACTGAAATACTGGCTCATATTTCATAGTTTCATCTCTTGATTCCGACCAATCTTGTTTATGTGCAGCGTGAGTTCTATCTGGAAGGTGGTGCCATGGTACTGGCTGATGGAGGTGTTGTCTGCATTGATGAGTTTGACAAGATGCGAGCAGAGGACAGGTTCAGTGGAGTTTAGTTGCTTTAATTATTTTTTGAAATGACCACAGATTGGTGTAATAATTCATTTTGCATATATTTCATAATTGCTGATTTGCAATCTTGCTTGTACAGGGTTGCTATTCATGAAGCTATGGAGCAGCAGACAATCTCCATTGCTAAAGCAGGTATAACAACTGTTCTTAATTCGAGAACCTCTGTGCTTGCAGCTGCCAATCCTCCATCAGGGCGTTATGATGATCTTAAGGTTTGTAGCTTCTGTTATCTTTGTATAAGTTTGTACATCAGTTTTTTTTAGTTTATGCTCTATACTACAACAATGTTTGTTTTAGCAGTAAATGCTAATAGCAAGAATCCCCCTTTCTTCCAGACTGCGCAGGATAACATTGATCTGCAGACAACTATTCTTTCTCGGTTTGACCTGATCTTCATTGTCAAAGATATCAGGATGTATAGCCAAGATAAGGTATACATACAGAATAAGCTAAAGAACTCTTCAGCATCTTTTGCTATGTTATGAGTAAAATTAGTGCTCAATTTTCATTCTGTGTTTGGTTTAGAACCTGGTTAGTTGGATTCATCTGCACCAAGATGTATATGACGCTTTCTCTCCCATATGATTCTTCACAAAATAAGGACCCTAGTGATTTTTTAATCATTCAAATATTTTGTTTCAGATAATTGCTAAACATATCACAAATCTACATGCAACTGCTGGTTCGACTAGGGAGGAATCTAAAGTTTCAAAAGAGGAGAATTGGTTAAAGAGGTATTTGTGTATATTATCAAGACCATACAATTCCTTGGTGCTACATTTGTGAATGCTACATTGGTATTAATTGCATGTGCTTCATTGTATACAGATACATACACTATTGTAGATCTAATTGCCACCCTCGTCTGTCAGAATCAGCTGCAAAGAAGTTACAAACTGAATATGTTAGCATCCGACAGGTATTGAAGCCTCCAAAACCACTTACCTATTTGCATTGTTGAGAAGTTAGGAATAATTGTAGTCAATATTTTTGGATTGTTAAACTGGGATAATAATAATTTGAAAGATAAAGTGTCATATAACTCTTGAATCTGTTGATTATGAATATATGATAAATTTTGGTTGTATGTCTAATGAATTCATATTCTGGCTCTCGTAGGATATGAGGCAAAAAGCAAATGAAAGTGGTGAGGCATCTGCAATACCGATTACTGTGAGGCAACTTGAGGCTATAGTTAGATTAAGCGAGGCCCTTGCAAAGATGAGATTGTAAGTGCTTATATTTAGCTCTAATACTTGACTTTGTTATGGTTTGCATGCAAAATTTTTGTACGTTTGAAAGCTGCTTGAGACTGGTGATCTGCTAGTCACCACTCTGAGCTAGCTGTAAATCATTATAACTTGGGGGATGGGAGGGTGGATTATTGCAAGGCAGGCAAGTCTATGGTTATGGTTTTTTTCTTCCAAGTGAAAACATTTGTGCCTAGTGTTGCAACAGTATTCTTTCTATGTCATCATTGTGTTGGCTTACTAAATGTTTGTATACCCTGTTTACAGGTCTGATGTTGCCACGGATGAGCATGTAAAGGAGGCGATACGGCTGTTCAATGTTGCCACCATGGACGCAGCTAGTTCTGGAATTAATCAGCAAGTAAATCTTACTGCTGAAATGGCAAATGAGATCAAGGTCTTGAAGAATTCTTGTGTTTTTATCAGGTTATCTTTTAGTTTTGTTTTTCTTAGGCTTTTCTTCTGTTTTTTTTTTTTTGGGTAAACAGCAAGCAGAAGTACAGATAAAGAGAAGAATTGGCATTGGAAGCCACATCTCAGAAAGACGTTTAATTGATGACTTGAGCAGGATGGGGTTGAATGAATCCATTGTAAGTGCAAAGGATGACATTCCAAATTATATTCTATTTTGCTTTCTGCAACCGTATATAACATGAAAGTTTGGCTGGTACATTCTCAGTATAAAAACAATCTGTCTTAATAGATGGTGATAAAAGATACTGTATACAACAACATATGTATTAAATAAAATCCTATCCTGAACAGGGGTTGATGAATTCAAAGTATGAATTTGTTTAATCTCCATCAGGATTTAAAACGTTACGAGTGACTTGGGAATCATGCGTTTGGCTCCACATGTAGCGACATTAACATATTATTGACTTTGCAGGTGAGAAGAGCTCTACTGATAATGCACCAAAGGGATGAAGTTGAGTACAAGAGAGAAAGACGTGTGATTGTTCGTAAAGCTTAAGGGTTCTATGGCCTATGGAAGCATTCCTGATCGCCAATTTGTTAAGTCAGTGTCATCTCCAAACTCATTTGTGCCTTGCAAATTGTATATTTCCATCAGATCAATGAGATTTTCTTTGGGACAAAATACTTGGTGGTCTTGAACTCAGTTATGGACTTATGGGACCAGCAACCAATTTGCATGATATTAGCCATTATGTAACTTAAAAGTTAGGTTTTTGTTTGTGTTTATCTATGATGGTTCATGGTTGGCAGTTAACAGGTTACTTTTCCTGCCATGTAGCAGTAGTCTCTGTTTCTTCTTAAGTTTCAATTACAAAATCAGTATAGTTAGTATACCTGTAACTATACAGTCTCAACAAGCTGAGCAGCTCAACTAAAGCTTTATATATCTCTTTAAGGCAACTTTAGGCACTGAAATGACATCTAGGTTTACCTTAGGGGCTCCAAAAGGCAACTATTATAGTCTTTGGATATACGACTAGGTAGTAGGTACTCCTATATAATATCTCTACTAGATTATATAATTTCATCGATCTAACAAAAGGTAACATGTTATCGAAAATGCTATTGAGATTTGATTATATACTCTGTAATTAGTAAAAGCAAGAGGGCCAATTTGTATGAAGTTCATTGGACTAGTAGGAGTATAATAATGAATGAAGGGTTTATACTATTTCTATTGAGTTTTAGTTGCAATTTTTGTCATTTTTAGATGCTTTATATTAGTTGCAATTTTCAATTTTCTTTCTTTTTTTGGTAATTTTTTTAATAATATTACAAAAATACCTTTACTAATGATGTTATAAACATAATTATTCTCACCCAATTTAATTAACCAACACTAATTCAATTAGAAAATAAACTTAATTCAACAAATCATTTCATCCATTCATTTTCCAAATATTCATCCAAACCACCACCTTCAATTTCGACACTGCCGCCATCTCTAATCACCACCTACATCGTCGCGCCTATGACAACCACCATCAACGTCACCGCAGCAAGCCGTTGCCGCATCCTCTTGCTGCGATTTTCCTCTTTCTCTCGCTCTTTCGCTCTCTATCTCTCTCTCTGCAACACTAACTTAGCTTTGTCGTCGTGCGAGCCTAATTTTGAGAACTAACTTTAAAGTTCGAGGACGAACTTTCGTTTTTAGGGGAGTAGATGTAATACCCCAGATTTTTTATCAACGATTTTTCTAGTATAAAGTTTAAATTTATTATTATTTTCAAATTTAAAAAAGAAATTAATAATTATTATTTTATTTCTATTTTCGGATTTATTAAAAAAAAAACTGATTTCGGATGTTTTCAGAAACTGATTTAAAAATTTAAGCTTATCTTTTCAAGAACTTTGAATTGAGACTTATCTCCGGAATACTATAGAGAAATTTAACCTAAGCTTTCTAAGTTATATACCTAAGGCCTAAAGCTGATACAATACCCATACCTCTCAATTTATCAAGTCGTCATTCTCGACCGGTCGTTCGTCGATAAGCAATGGTTTTCTTATTTTGATACACTGATAATGATCTCTTATCCACTCAATTTCTGTAAACTATCGCCTGTTGTTGTAGTTGACGAACTGGAAAAAAAAAATTTTAAAAAAAAAAAAAAAAAAAAGGAGAATAAACACCATTGAAGAAGAAAACTATGGAGTTGGTGCGTGGGAATTGTAGTTCAGGAGGAGATGAATGTTGTAGTGGGCCATCAAATAAAGCAATACCTTATAATCCTAACACAGTAGACTTACAAGTGTTTCTTTTTTTTTGTTATTTCCGTCTCGTGCTACTACGTACTATCTTCGTATTAGACTATTAGCTATACGAGTCAGACTAATTTAGTTTTATCATCTACTTATTTGTAGCCGGAGGCTACTAGGTGAACGTTTCGGAGGTTACTTACCTTGAGATTAAAGCGCAACTCAAGGTAATTTTCAATGTCCATCTTTAGAATCCCGTTAGGAAATTGATTTAAATTATTGTGTGTCAACTATGTGCTTACGTAATTATATGTGAGGGATGTGTTACCGTATGATATTCTGGAATTATATTATATACTAGTTTTCTATAATTGTGTACTAGTCTAATATTTTCGAAATTTTGATTATTTGGTATCGTATGAGTTTTTATATAATTACAATCTTGGGAATTGGATGATTGATTAAATGTGATTGATGGTCTCCAAGACCTATTGAGAAACGAGTTGTAACTAGTATGTCTTATGACTATGTTTTAATAATACTGAAATTAAAATATTGTTACTTGGGATTAAGTTGATTTTGTGCAATACTCATGTGCAATGTGATCGGACAATTTAATTTATTTAAATGTACATTAAATTAAGAAGGGAAATGAAACCCGAAAGGGTGAAGAACAGGTTGCCCACTAGTGGTTATGGTTGCTACTAGTTGGTTTAAATTGACGTATATTACTGTTTAGTCTTCCTCCTAATCAATGGGTATTAGTGAGGGGTGTGCACACTAAGGACATTCTGTTTAATTTATGGCCATTTGAGGTCACGCGCGACCCTCTGTAAAGTAGGTGGTGTCAGGGACTAGTCCCGGCTTACTGGCGTTCTCTTTCCCTTTCTTAACTAAAGTAATAATTTTATGTGGCAATTTGATTTTGACTTATTATTATGATGTCGATAAAATTGTGTTGTGTAAAATGCTTTTCGAACTAAATTTATTTATTTTACGGGATGGAGTTGAAATTACTCAGTTTATCTGATTTTGGGAGTTTTCTCTCTCTTTTCTTGTTTCTGGTTTATTTTGCAGGTTGGTAAAAGGGTACTCGGTTACGTGTGAGGAGACGTTAGAATAATCACGTAGCTAAGACATTTTAGTTAATTCTGAACTTAGTTATTTTTTTCTTATATTTTAAAATGTTTTACGGTTTGGATGTAACGAATATTTTATTCTTGTCGCCACTTAGATCACTTAGTTATAAAATGGTATTTTGATTTTGCTTTGCACTTGTTTTCTATGGAAAATAAGTGTAGCAATAACACTCTCAAGGTTCGATGGTCGGTTTTGAAAGAAAAGGGTTATTCTTATCGTTTTACAAAGACCCGAATTTTGGGAGTGTTACACACTCTCTCTCTCTCTCTTTACAAAAAAAGTTTAGATCTGATTGTTTGAGGGGTCGGTGGTTTGGTTTTTGGTGGTTCTGGGTTGGGTATCGTGGGTGGTTTTGGGTTGGGTATCTTGGGAGACTGTGAATGGGGGATTTCGTGGCTGGTTTTGGGTTGGGTTCGTGGGTGGGTTTGAGTTTTCGGCGATGGTGACCTTTGATTTGGGTTCAGCAATGGTGGGTTTGGGTTTAGGGGTGGGTTGTTGGTGATGGTGAGCTTTCGGCGATGGTGAGCTTCGATTTAGGGGTTGTCGGTGATGGTGGGTTTGGGTATGTGAGGGTGTCGGGCTGGGTTTAGGGGATGTCAGTGATGGGTGGTGGTGGCTGGTCTGGGTTTAGGAGGGAGTCGGTGGTGGTGATGGCTAGTCTGGGTTTAAGAGGGAGTCGGTGGTGGTGGTGGATTGGTGGGTTGGGTGGTTATTTAATCATTTTTAATTTTTCTCTCTCATACTTAATCACATACCCTTATATCCCTTAATAACCATTGTGAAATTTTAACTTGGAAACCATGCCAGACCTCAAAGTTGCAACTAAAACTTAACGAAGGTAGTATATAATGAAGGAATTGAAACACTCTGTATGTAATATAACAAGACAAGGATAATGGAATATCTTTTTTTTTTTTAGTACATTTGTCTTTTTGTGTGACTGGCCACACCATGTAGCCGGTTGTAACATAACAAACTAAATTTTGTAATACTGACCGAGTAACCCCTATAACACTAACAGAGTAATCCTACACTGATGAAGTAACCCCTGTAACATTGAACGAGTAACTCTATAACACTAATGAAATAACCCCTATAACGCTAACAAAGTAACCCATATTATGGTTGGGGTGTGGCAAGCCACATATAAAAATTTGTGGGTTTTTTTTTTTTTACTCACCACAACTCTCCAAAATCTCATTGCTTATATTTCGTACACTTTTTTTTTTGGGAAATTAACCTCTAAATTATTTTCACTTCTCAAGGAAGAAAAAAAAAAACTTTTTATAACTTCCAAGTTTATTATGGAGTAATTTTTCAGAGAAAATACAAGTTTATAACCTATGTTTATCAAGGAGTGTATAGGTAAATTACATCTAAGTTTAGTTAACCGTTGTTTTCTCTCTCCTCCTTCAACCTTTTGATGTTTTTTGATTTTCTCTCTCCTCCTTCAACCTTTCCTGTTTTCTCTCTCCTTCTTAAACCTTCAATTTTAATGGTGTAAAGTACACCTTTTCACTACGACATCAAACAAAGTTGAAATCAATGGAGGAAGAAAAACTTATCTACCCTTTAGGATTAGTGAACTGCTAAACATCGCCCGCAAATCTCCACATAAAGCCCACAAATTAAAAGTGAAATGACTCTTTTGCCCTCGAACTAAAATTATATTCTCTCTACTCTAGTAAAAAACACACTCTCATCTTCTCTTAACTTTGTAGTCTCACTTTCTCTCTCGAAAATATTTTTTCAAAATGTCGAGGCGGCAAGGCAGGGTAGTGGCGGCACCGGTGGCCGGAGCAAGGGGGTTTGGAGGAGGAAAGGTATTTTTTTTTTGTTAATTTTTTTATTTAAAAAAAAAAAAAAAAAACCGGAAAAGGTGGCGGCCCGGCGGCGACTGGTGGCTGGACGGCGGCGAATGGGCGGCGGCGTTTGGCCCAGACGCCGACACCACGGTTCCGGCGCCTGTCCCAGACGCCATTGCCACGGTGATGGCGCCTGGGCAGGGCGCCGGTACCACGGTGGCGGCGTCCACGTCAGACGCCAACACCGTGGCACCGGCGTCCTGCCCAGGCGCCACCATCGTGGCTCTGGCGTCTGGGACAGGCGCCGGAACCCTAATTTTTTTTTTTTTCATTTTCTTTTATTTTTTTTTTGAATTATTTTTTCAAATTTTTTTTTTGCTTTTTTTTGTTTTTGTTTTTCCGTTTTATTTTTTAATTTTATTTTTTACTTTGTTTTTTCCAATTTGTTTTTTTTGGGTAATTTTTTTTTTTGCTTTGTTTTTTCCAATTTTTTATTTATTTATTTATTAGGTTATTAATTTTTTTATTTTTAGGTTGTTAATATTTTGTAATGTTTTTAATTTATTTTCCATCATATGTATATTGTTTTATTTATTTATTTTAATTACTTTTTTTATGTTTATATTACATGTTTATATTGCATATTACATGTTTTGTTATTTTGTGTTAGGCATCGTATTTTCGTTCTGGGGCTGGGAAGAGTATGGACATTATGAGAAGTACGATCAACTCAATGGAGAGCTCGGGGCCCAGACACGTTAGATCCCGTGGTATTTCGGCCTCGGCTCGTAGAGAACGGGTGCACTATTCTGAGGATGATGAAGATGATGATGGTGATGAGGAGGAGGAGGAGGAGGATGCAGATGAGGATGTGGACGATCAGAGTGGACCATATGATGATTACGGTCCATTCAGTCAGAGGCTTGATGATGTGTATGAGACGCGTAGGGTAGACGTGCGTAAGGGTAGAGATGGTAGATTTGTTAGTAGATCTGGCACATCATCTGCGTCCACTGTGTCTGCGGTTAGCAGAAAACGGTCGAGGGCCGTTAATGATTCTTGGGTGGTGAGGGGCGAGGTGGCTGGGGGACCTATAGACGGGAGTGTGATTCCTAGCTTTCTAGGACACATCGCTACCCGTATTTGGGAGGACCAAGAGCGGGCTTTGGATAGCGGCATTTTGAAATGCCAAACCCGGGAGAGGACTTGTAACTTCTTGTGTAGTTGGGCTGAGGCTTGGCCGGAGGAGAGCGAGATGGTCGGCCGATTGAGGGGCACTAGAGTGAGCCACCTTCCTGCCACCATGCATGAGAGGATTGACTCGACGCTGATCACGGCTTTCGTTGAGCGATGGCAGCCGGACACGAACTCTTTCCACCTTCCGTTCGGTGAGATGACGATCATGTTGCATGACGTCGAGGCCATCCTTGGGATTCCCGTAGAGGGAAACCGAGCATCTGTTGTCACAGATGCGGATCAGGCAGATTTATTGGCGGAGCTGTTGACGGTGGATAGGGCTGCGCTGTACACAGCGGCACTTGGGGTGTGGGATCACGACGGTGTTAAGATCGCAGCAGTTTTGCAGCGATGTTTGCACCCCACTTCACGTAGGACGCAGGACACACAGCTGGCTGCATATGTTTTTCTTCTTCTCGGGTGTACCTTGTTTCCGGATAAGAGCGGAAACAAGCTCAGGCCACGCGACATAGTTGACGCGTGTGAGCCCGACAGAGTAGGCCAGTTTTCTTGGGGGTCGGCTACATTAGCGTACATGTATCGCCAGTTAGGATTCTCGAGCCGGGCTGATGCGGCAGGTATCACTGGATGTATGACGTTGTTACAGACGTGGATATACGAGTATTTCCCGGCGTTTCGACCACACTGCACACTTGTAGATGTTTGCAACGGCGAAGAGATCAAGTGGCGCGTCGAACCAATGATTTTGACCGCAACGTCCTCCTCCCCACCGGATACGCTGCAGAGACCTATCCAAGTCCTGTCCGTACACGTGGCGATAAACAGCTCGATTTGAGGCGATTTCACTGTACATCAACTGACGCACTAAACCGTAGTTGTCTTCACCCATCTGAAACACATCAGCCACAACCCGAAATCCGCAGTTACCATCTGCAACCACATCATTCCACCCGTCCAGGAACGACATCATGATGTTAGGGATCCTGTCTTTATATGGAAAATGTTCAATGTCCATTCTACCTGTTGCACACATCAAAAAACACAATTAACAAGTCAGCAGAAAACTAAACAAACACTCTAAAAAGTAAATTAAACTAAAGTACCGTACCGGTGCCGGGCATATTCACCGACGAAGAAGTTTGACTACCACTTGATGACGATGTACGACCACGGCCACGACCACGACCACGACCACGAATGTACTCAAACGCACTCCTTTCCCGCCGTGGTTGTCGGCCCCGTGGTCGCTCGACCCCCTCAGGTTCCTCATGATCCAAGCACGACGAGTTGAACATGTCATGAAGTACGTGGGTAGCACTACGAATGATTGAAGGGTGGCTGGAGGACACTTGGTCAAACATCGAACGAAACTGCTCCAACTCCTCCTGTTCACGGTTGACTGTCTGTGGAACAACATGCTCTCCGATAACGAGCGTCCGCCAGAATGGATGAACCTGATCAACATGTAACGACGCCCTATCTTGCGTAATTACGCGGTGAATGGTGCATGCACAAGGTAGTCCATGAGTCACCGATATAGCACATCCGCACCGAATAGCCACTTCATCACCCAACTCCCTCATCCTGGTGTGCTCGCTCAGAATCAACCCCAAGCAGTAGTGTGACACACGACCATGGAGAATCTTAAATATGAAATGGCTATACATCGTGCCATGTCGCCGTCTGGAGTCCTCGAGAGAGTTCTTGATGCCGTTCCTCTGAGTATCAATAGCCTTGTTTATTCTCTCGAACAGTGTATCCAGAGCAGAGGTGGAAGAATCAATCCAGTCCTTCAGAGCTCTATGAGCGCTCTCAACTCTACATGTAGTAGTGTTTCCAAAATGAAGAACTTGGTTTGTCCAATATTTGACAAACTTTTACCTCTGAGGCACCCACTGCTGCATCACATAGTCTACGATTGCCGGGCACCATTGGTATGCATCCTTGAAGTTATCCAAGGCTCGGTCGTACTCTGCCTCCGTGGTAGCTTGCAGGATCTTCCGCCACTTACCATTTACCAATCTCTCTGCTGAATCTAAGTTCTTGTTGAAAAGGTTGTAGGCTTTGACTTTCACGCAGTTGTTGATGTGCCATGTGCACAGTTAATGGCTCGACTCCGGAAACAGCTCCGCTATAGGGGCAAAGAGACCTCCCTCACAATCGCTGACGATGGCCGATGGCTGAACACTTGGGCCGATGTAATTTCTCAACTTCTCCAACACCCAACGGTAACTCGCAACCGTCTCATCCTTCATAACTGCATAACCAATCAAAAAGTTCTGGTTCGTTGGAGTCATCCCAACCATCTCAACCAGTGGAAACTTATACTTGTTTGTCTTGTACGTTGAATCGATCAGAATCACAGATGGCCAAGACGAAATCATATCAGCACAATCAGGATGCACAAGGAACAAATGAGTCACCTCCGATGTGTCTTCATCAGATTCAAACCAGTACAGGTAACCACGTGCTTGTGCCTGGTGTAGAAGCTGCTGTATAGGGTTCCTTCCCTCTGACCGTTCAAACCTCAATTTCTGTCTGACGTTGTAGATGTGTCTTCGGTTTGGCTGGTCTTCAGGAAATTTCTCCAACACAGATGCTAATATTTTAGCAGGCTTCACTTGAGCATCACTCATTTCTTTTACAATTAGTTTCGCACCAGGACTTAGGCCACTTAACTGTCGATGACCCACTTCATATGCGATCATCTCATGGTTGTGATACCCCCATTTACCGTAACTCTTCACTTCCCAACCGTCACCCCTTTGCTGTTGTCGAACCTTTACTCTGAACTGACACCCACAACCTTTCCGCTTTGTATCAAACCGAATCGCTTGACTGAAATCTCGTTCCTCCCTTTTGCGATAACGGTCGCATCTCAAAATGCGATCCATTCTACCATCCCGTTGAGATTTATGAGTTGCTACTACTAAACAAAAACCTGATCTAATTGCAACATGTTTCGCCCAATCAACCGCTTGTTGAGCATCTTCGAACAGACCATCGTGTACAAAAATCCCACTATAATCATTTCCGTCTCCACCATAATCCTGCAACAATAACATATAAATATAATCACATAAGATTAGATTAAATTAATACATTTGACACAACATTAGCACAAAAGCAAAAACAATAATAAAATATAAACAACAAACAAAGAAATAAAAAACATAAACAAAAAGTATTCAAAAAAAAAAAAAAAACAAAACACAAAAATAAAAAACATAAACAAAACTTTAGATTAAATAAAAAAAAAAAAACCAAAAAAAAAAAACAAAAAAAAAAACATAAACATAAAAAACATAGCGATCAAAAACACAAAAATCAAACACAAAATTTTACATTACATTTTAAAACAATTAAAAACAAAACAAAAAAAAACCAAAAAAAGGAAAAAAAATTGTAACACAAAAAAAAAAAAAAAAATAAACAAATTTTAAATTAAATTAAAAAAAAAAAAAAAATGCAGTGGCGCCTAGCCAGGACGCCGCTACCGTGGCGGTGGCGTCTAGCCAGGACGCCGCCACCGTGGCGATGGCGCCTGGCCAGGACGCCGCTTTCATGGTGGCGGCGTCTTGGCCAGACGCCACGGCCACGGTGGCGGCGTCCTGGCCAGGCGCCATACCTACGGAGGCAGCGTCCTGGCTAGGCGCCACCACTTCGGTCACGGCGTCCCGGCAGGACGCCAGCCGCCAATTCGTGGTTTTAGATGGCTTCGTACCTCCTTTTCCGGCGTCAACGGCGTCTCTCCGGTGCATCTAGCCGACGTTGAGGGCTCTTCGGTTTCACTCGGCGATCCAGTCCTGCTCCACATTTTTGGTGAGTGAAAATTTTCATTTTCGGTAAAAAATAAAACAAGGGCAATAATGTCAAAATTTTTAAAAAATGTGGGCTTTATGTAGAAAAACGCGGGCGATGTTTAACAAGTCCCTAGGATTAACCATACCCTTTATTTTCACTTTGTTATTTAGGTTTTCGTTTAGCCGTTGGAAATGGTGGTGCTAAGTCGAATTCAATGGAGGAAAGAAAACTTAACTACCCTTTAGGGTTAACCATGCCAATAATTTTTCCTTTTGTTATTAGGGCTTTCGTTTAACTCCGCGAAAGTGGAGTCGTGCCGACTTGAAAGAGAAGATGAAAGTGGGTAGAGATTGGAGGAAGAAGATTAAGGTGGGTGGGAAGAAAAAGTATGAACAAGAGGAAGATGATGAATTGAACATGAAGAAGAAGGTGATTAGTTTTAACGGTGAGTTAACTTCAAAAGTTATGTTCAACTTGTCACAATGGCCCACAACACAATAAAAATATACTTCGTATTTTTTTTAATAAAAAAACACAGATTTCAATACAACTTATTCACTAAAATGTCATTTGATAAACATAATTTGTTTACCTAAGTTATAAAGGGGGCTTGCTCTTTTTCTAAACAAACATACCACATACATCCCATGCGAGTACACTGCAACAGTCTAATAGATCCATTTTTTTTAAGGCAAGAAGAAAGACTCTATCATATGATTTTTATTTTTGTCCGGTGTCAGTATTAGTCGTAGATAGACTATAGTTGTTGTAAAAAAAAAAGGAAAAATTTACGTAAATAGACCAACCTTTGGCCGGTTCTCTCAAAATGGACAAACCTATAAATCTGCCCATAGTGGACAGAAGTTTGCCATTTTTCGCCCAAAATGGACCAAGCAGGTCACCTACCTATTATAACAGGTAAAAGTCCACATGTCATTAAATCATTGGTCTAAGTTTTTTTTTTTTTTTTTTTTTTTTTTTTTTTTTTTTTTAATTTTTAAATTTTGATAATTCTTAAAAAAAAAGAAATAAAAAAAAAACAAAATCAAAACCACCCTACTGCCACAACAAAGAACAACCACAACATCACCACCAAACGCCAGCAACACCTCCAAGCACAGCACCACCCCTACACTGCCGGCGGCTGGCAGCCGGTGCCCAACCCATTCTCCTGACTTCGACGACCTCCCTCCCTTTCCGCCACCCTCCATGACACCACTCAACGCCCCATTATGATTTTGCTTGTTCGAATTGGTGGCTGCCGGTGGGCGGGGTTCTGTAGCGCGAGGGGTTGTGAGTTGGTGGCGCTAGTACTGGGCAGCAGAGGGTTGTGTTTATTATTTAATTATTTTATTTTTAATTAATGTTGTGTTGTGTTTTTGTTTGGAGATCAATTCACTGAGGAAGTTACTATTCAGATTCATAAGCAATTTGTTGCAAACTTTGCGTAGTTATAGATTTGGAGGTAATTAAGATGGTGCCCAATTCAATTTATCGGGTGCAGGTTGGAATGTAGGATGAGAAAATAGAGGGGTAGACATTTGGTTATTGAAGTATAGATAAAATGAATTTGACACAACAAGAAGTATAGATTTTGTTGGTGGTTAGATCAAGGGCCTCAAGGCAGTAGTAGAGGTTCTGGAAGTAGAAATGGAGAATAACTGACAAAGATGGAAGGAGTAGAATGTGCAATTCAGGAGAAGACGAGAAGTATTGGGTAAAGCCAAGAGTAGCAAAGGCACTCAATGCTTCTGAGTTTGGTAAAGATGGTGGTGTTTTGAAGCATATGAGTAAGGTGATTTGTTTTGGAGATAGGAGAGATGGTTTTGGGCGGCGTCGGTATAAGTGGTGGCTGGTGGGGGTTTAAGGATGTACCGATTTCAAGGGTGGGGGTCTTGGAGGGTGCCGGAATCCGAGTGGGGGTTTTGGGCGTGTTTGGTTCCGGTGGGGGTTTTCGGGTGGGGATTGGCCGGTTTCGGGTGGGTTGTGGCCGGAAATACAAGGTGGCTGGAAAGAGAGGTGAAGAGGAGGGTGGCCGGATTTAATGGAGGAGGGGTTGGCAGTGGGGTTAGGGGAGGTTTGAGTTTTATTTATTTATTTTTTTTTTTTATTTAATTTTATTTATTTTGTTAATCTAAAAAAAATAATTAAAGGAAAATAAATAAAATGACCGGTTGTTCAGGTTATAGGTCAGTTGGTTTTATTACGAGAGAAAAAAATACAAACTTGTGTTTATTTGGGCTGATTTAAAGGTTGGTTCGTTACGGGAGAATGGGGCAAAGGTTGGTTCGTTACGGGAGAATGGGGCAAAGGTTGATTTATTGTTGTTAAATTTTTCAAAAAAAAAAAGAAAGAGATAGACTATAGTATACTCCTACAGTCCTACACGAGTACTCCTTAGTGGCTTAATAAAGTAAAGTGAAGAAGAGAAGAGCTGAAGAAGTGGGAGATGATAAAAACTCCAATTCAGCAATGTATCTTTGAGTCCCGGCGACCAAATACTAGTTCGCTCAGGTCTATTGGAATCTAATTTATCCAATTATTATATATTTTGAGCTTTGTATTTTATTTTATTGATTTATTAGAGAAATTGTTTGTAATAGGTGCGCAGTTCTTGGTGCCGGCTTTGCTGGGTTGTCAGTGGCGTGGCATTTGCTATTCGTAATTCATCTCTCTATTTCTGTACAATTAATTAATTAGGGTTTTGATAATTGGGGATTGATTAATGAATTGAATTGAATTTGAATGTTGTGTTAACTAACAATTGGCAGCACAGCCCCAAAGAATTCAAAGTACAAGTTGACATTTTTGATGATGTTGGCATTGCTGGCGGCGCTTCTGGAGTTGATGGAGGCCTCGTTCACCCCTATTCTCCTAAAAGTAAGGTTTCATTTTCTTTTTAATTTTATTAGCAAGTACAAGTATTCAAGTATATACTATTCTCCTAAAGGTAATTAACCAATACAAGTATTGTCAAAGTATATAAAAATATTCGTTCTCATGTTTCTCATCATCCACCAGTCAAGCCTCTTTGGAGGGCTGATGAATGCTGGACAGAGTTTTTGAATCTTCTTAATGTTGCTGAAGCCGCCGCCGCAGCAGCTTCTACTGATGACTTCATTGTCAGGAGAACGTCTGTCTTTTTTCCTTTCTTTGCTTTCACTATTTATTTAGACATTGTCAATCAATACATAATGAATGTTATATTAATATGCTTACTACCACTTACATTACAACTCTCGAATCTAATGGTATAAGTTTACTTCAGGGGCATATTGAGGCCACCTGTTAATCACAAGATATTGGATGTCATGCACCAGGTTATACTTCATTTTTACAACCATAATCCAGTCTCCTCTCCTCACTTTATAACTCTGGCTTCTTATTTGCAGAATGCTCTCACTAGTCTACCAACTTGTCCAATACAGACCCTTGATGGAGCTGCTGCAAGGGACCTTATACCAAATTTATGTACCCCTTTAAACACAGCCTTCTTTATGCCTCTAGCTGTCAATCTTAATCCCCGCAACTATCTTAAGGTGTGCTACTGCTAATCATCTCATTACTTTTTCCCTGTGCTGAATGTTTTTCATTTCATTATGTTCTTTGTGCCAGGCACTTTTTCTCGCAACTCAACATTTGGTCAACAAAATCTCGTCAATAGGCTTCCCTACCAAGGAAATAACTTTGCAAAACAAACTTGTAGCTTCACTAAGTCAACTGGGAGGTTATTTCTTATACTATCTTTACACAAGTGATGGAGTGCTTTCCCTTCACCTGAGTGGATGCAGTTTGTTTATCCAGATGAATATGATGCGGTCATAGTTTGTCTTGGTGCTAGAGTTGACATGCTGCCTGAGCTATCTGGAATGCTTCCTTTAAGGACATGCAGAGGCATTGTTGCACACCTTCAGTTGCATGATTCCTTGTGGTAAGAGTTTAACAAGTTTTAATTTCAAGTATTCTTTGACAGTAGCATACTGGTTGTATTGTGATTGATTAAAAAAAAGAATGACTTATAAGGACATGACTGTTAGTAGTGCTGTAGGCCATGTTTTGCCTCTTGATGGATGAGTTTATGGAGGGATAGGGGAAGGAAATGATGCTATCCATGATGAGGAACCTCATAATAATCAAATAGAAAATGAAAAAGAGAATATACCACTTGACAATAAACCAATAAACCATTGCATATGAACCTTTTGAACAAAATGAAGAAATGTTAAAGGAAGAACAGCTACAAAACCAAAGTGAAATTGAAGAATAGACTAATTATGAAGTCATCAATCTGCCTCAAAGAGAAAATGCAGCAACAAAGAACCCAGTGATGTTCCTATATGGAGACTTCTTAGAGTTGAATGATTTGGCGGAGTAAAAGACTAATGGAGACCTTCGCTATCCTATCAATTAATTACATTTTTTGTTTTGTAGTTTTAGCACTAGTCAAGTGGAAATATAATAACATTGCATGGTAGGAGGTGCCCTTGAGTGAGTGTCTTAAGTACCTTGGGTCGATAGACTTTGTTAAATATAGTATGCATAACTACATTTAAATACCATTTATTGATGGAGGAACTAAACATTTCAAAACTGGGTTTTCAAGCGGAAAATTTAATATTGTATCTTTTTTTTTTTTTTTCCTGCTAGGATAAAATCCTGTGACTGATCCTTGTTTTTAGAGTATGAGGCCCTTATGTAGAACAAAGAAAAAAGACAAAATGAAACTTAAGGAGGAAAAGAGGGAAGAACAAAGGTGTTTTTGTGTAAAGCATGACCTAGCAAAAGAGATTATCTCATGACGAAACAAGCTATAGTAGAGTGGCTGATCTCATTATCCCTTTAGTGCTGTACAACAACAACAACAACAACAAAGCCTCCCAAAATGATCCCTTTGGTGCTGTATGTTATGTACCAGATTTCGCACGGCCAATTAATACTTAATCAAGCACGGATTAAGGCAAAGCTTGATTAATGATTCGAATTACAGCTTAAAGAAGATAAGTATAGCTTTAGGCTATAAGTCTTATAGTAGCTTGAGGCTACAAATCTCACAAAGTGTTTAACTCAATTTTCTGGATGATTTCTACTTCTAACATACTACAATATTTATACTCAAAGCCTCTAATGACCATAGTCAGCCCTAAAGTGAATACATGTGACTTGTTAACTAATTTAGAAAAACCATCGGTATACATTTTTGAAGTTGATATTTCCTTCCTTAACTTCTCTTTAATTAACTTTGTCTTGTTGCAAAGGATTGCTTCCTGCTAGTGTCTGTGCCTCATGCTTTTGACCCTTGCTGTCCCCCTTTTTGCGCCTCGTGTACACCAATATTGACCCTGTAAACACCTTGTGAGATTTGCAGCCTCAAGCTACTATGAGACTTATAGCCTAAAGCTATACTTATCTTCTTTAAGCTGTAATCCGAATCATTAATCAATTAAGTACTCAAGCTTTGCCTTAATTCGTGCTTAATTAAGTTTTAATTGGCCGTGCGTAATCCGGTAAATAACAGCTTGGTATCAGAGCAGCCACGATCATGGTGTCAAACACAACGCAACGGTTGGATTTTGTCGAAGGAAGGTTCACGGGCTTGGAGGGTCAAATCGCAGCCATTGACGGGAAATTAAACACTCAAGAAGATACGCCACACGCATCGTAGCAGCGGCAGTGAAGGCCTCCATGGAGGAGGAACGGAAGAAGATTGATAAGGCATTAGCAGCCAACAAACTGGAGGACCGCTTGGGTCGCTTCCGGGTGGATGTTGTTACTAACCATTGATAGAGGGAAGTTGGAGAAGCTGAGGGAAGAGATGAAGGCGAAAGAAGGAAACCGACCACAATCAAATCCTATTCCGGTAGTCCACTTGGAAGGTGAAAATAGCTTAATCCAAGGGGAAAATTGGGAACGGACACCACAAGGCGAGAGACAATTTGGGATGCCGGGGTGGAGAGAAGCATGGTGGGTGGCGCGGCGAAGAGGGGTGGGGCTGGAGAGACGGAGATGACAGAGGCCGGAGTAATGGCCGGTGGAAGCACCGGAAGTTGGAGATACTCGAAGGAAAAGACCCAGATAATTGGGTCATGAGAGCAAAAATGTACTTCGAATTTTATCCGGCGGAAGAAGACAAGGTGACGGTGGCGTGATCTCGATGGACGGACCAACCCTTCAATAGGTTCAATGGGAGTAGAAACAACGGCCAGATGGGAAGATTTAAAACGGCGGGTGAAATGAGTTCTTCCCTAGTCATGTGGAGTCCCTCCATGAATAGTGGCTCGCGGTGGTCCAAACTTTGACCGTTGAGGAATACCGGAGACAATTCATCGGGCTAGCTTCTCATTTGGACAATTTGTCAGAGGATTTAATGATGGGACAATTCATTAACGGACTTCGGGAGGACGTGAAGGTGGAGGTCCGATTGCACGATCGACCACCTTTGAGAGAGCTATGGAGGTGGCACCTTTAACAATTTGCAAGAGAATTACTGACGTGCTACCGCCACGTGTTCAAACGTTAAGGCTAGTTCAGAATTTAGCAGCGGAAAAAACTAACTCAGTTATCAATAAATTTCAAAACCAAAAATCAAAACCAAATTTAGTCTTACAAGTTGGAACCATTAAAGCCCTTATTCAAAACCCAATAAAAGTAGTAAATAAATCAAACCAGAGTTTAATTAAATCCAAACTTATGAAATGAAATAAACTATGGAAATATCCAACACTCCACTTAAAATCCCACCACTTTGATGCAAGTTTTGATTTTGTAAAAACCTGTGATTAATCTGCTCCCCAATATTACAAGTGTAAAAATTGGATCATTTTTAAAGCCATGACCAGGAAAGAGACACATAAAAGCACGCAATCAGTACATACAAGCTACGTAATATAACAAAGAATCCCTAGCATGTTACTAAAAATCAATGAGCACACACAATTTAATTATTGACTCAAACACATGCCTTAACTGTTAACATTACTAAGACTTCACTAATGACTAACGATAATTTATTTCATTTCATTCATCGATTGGATTAAGCAATAGACAAGGTTGTCTCCCCATGCTCCATTTTGGAACATCAATAAAAGAAAAATCCTATGCCTCCTTTTGGAAACATAAACATGGCAGACGGGCGCGACTTTATGGCCATAGCTAGTATGAGATCTCATCTAACTCCTTATAGTTTTAAAAAGTATTTTAAAACAAGAGACTCGTAGATTAGACGACCTCTAGAAAGTACACGGCTAATACCCCGTGAACCCCAACCCCGGTTGTCAATACTCTAGATGTGCACAGAGTTTTATTGCTCATCCTTCTTGCACTTTACGTGATTTACTAGTTTAAACTCGGTGATGACTCTAATGCAAAATGATACAACCAATGATACATTAATCATTCAAGCAATTCAAATTTCCAATTTAATTCTTGATTTATTAGTGACAAATAATATTTATTATTAAATCCCTTAACTACCTCGGTGTATAAACACCTTAGGTGCATAAGGCACCTCAAATCATCAACCTCATCTTATAAGACTTTAATTCTCCCTTTACTCATTCCATTTCAATAAACATGAACGAGTATTAAAATAATTCATTCCCCATATTCATGTACCTTTGCCTCTAAACCCATCTTGCAAGTTAATGCATAAATAATACTTACAAGATAAATTAATACGCATTTCTCATACATGAAACAAAACCAACCATCACATTAATCACCAATCAAACATATTACCATACAATTCCAACCAATCCACAAGTTTCCCGACATGATTCTAAATCTTCCAAGTCCTTAAACATGCTCCTAAAGTCAAGGTTTTCGTATCCTTGTACGTACCTTGAGTAAACGAGTTAATTGACCACTTTAGGAACTAGTAATCGCCTTCTACAAAGTCCTCTCCTAAACCAAACAATAACAATTTAATCAATACCCAAGCATATAATTTACAGCAATACCAAACTACTTTTAAACCCCATAATCCATTGAAATAATGCCTTTAAATTGTTCCCAATAGCCAAAGTTAATAATTTAATAGTTCAACTATAAGTTTTTATGCTAAAATCATGAAAATATAACTTAAAACATGAAATTCCAGCAACTTTAAGGTAAGAACATATCTGAAAATTTAGTTTAAAATTGTAAAACAACCTTATAGACATCTATATTTGAAATAATCATTATGTAGTAGGTTAGTATGTTAAAAACGTAAAAATCCATCATAAGGCCATGATTTAAAACCTTTAAAACCAAGATTAAAATTCCGAATATTTAATTTAATAGTAGAATGTATGAATACAACAATCTAACCTTGAAATATATAATTAGAATTCAATTAGTTTCATAAAAACTCAATCAAACCTTCAAAATTCAATTAAACAACACTTTAAAACCTTCATTTTTGCTAGAATTAAAAGCTTATATACTGTTATTTAAGTTTCCTACTTAAAAACCTTAAAATACATACTTATATATGAAATTACAGCAATTTTAAAGTTTAATAAAAATCTGAATATTTATTTTATACATGAAATCTCAAAATTATAGTAATCTTTGAAACTACCTACATTATATATTAAGTTAGTAGGCTTTAAACCCAAAAATTCACCAATTCAACGTATTTAGAGACTTCAAAAACAATAACCTAAAATCTGTAAATTTATTCTTGCAATTAAACTTTAAAGTTTCAAACTTTATAATCATAAAATAACCACAACCTTTGTTTAATGAAGTTAAAGACTTGAAACACATGAAATCAATATAATTTAAACCCAAGATTAAAACTTTAATAATCAAAACATTTATTTTAAACATTAAACCTTCGTTAAAAATCAAAAATTGCCCGAAAACCATAATTAGAGGCTGAATTTGGCCACGAGAGGGTGGTACTCATTACCAAAGGTAGTGAATTTTGATTAAAATGTCGTTTACACA